CTCCCTGCTTGTGGCCCAGGAAAGCAGTCGAGGACCTGCACCCGCGTGGGAGACCCAGAAGAGGCTCCTGGCTTCGGATCGGCATAGTATTGGCCGTTGCGCTCACTTGGGGAGTGAATCATCGGATGGAAGATCTTCCTCTCTGTCTCTCCTCTCTGTATATCCGCCTTTCCAATAAAGATAAAATAAATCTTTAAAAAAAAATGAAAGTTCTGGAGAATCATACTCCGTTTCTACATTCCTCCAAAAACTCGTTTCTAACAACAGGAGTCTCTGGTGGCACATCATATTACCATTGCCTGTTTTTCTCTCATAAGTAAACATCCTATCTTGGCAACCATAACGAATGGTGGCCTAGAATGCTCCCAAGCTCCAACCAGAGGCTTAGCCCACAGCCCTCAGCACCAGATCCAATGCTCCTAGCCGGGTTCCCTGGTCCCCTGCCTAGGTTGGTGCCATGGCCACCAATTTCTGCTCAGAAAGTAGCATATCTTTTTTTCTGTTTTGTTTTAAATGGTGTTTACACTACACTGCCTTGTCACATTTTCCTGCCATCTCCATCACCACCAGCCACCAGTCTCTTCTCGCTCTTCCTGTGCCCACTGCCAATGCTGCTTCTCAGGGCACTCGCCTACCCGCTGGGTGTGGAGCACCTGCAATTCTGAAGTGTTCGCCTGCAGGAAACCTCACGCTCTTGGCTCCAGGAGTCGCTGAGTCGCTCTCCTTTTCTCCGACCAGCCAGCTCTGTGCTTCCTCCGCCAGCACACAGCCTCCTCCTCACCATGGTCTCTGAGGGGCTGCCCTGCACCACCTCTCGCACACAGGCCACTTGGATGCTCTCACAGACTTCTGGGCCCTCCCTGTGCCAGGGGCAGGATGACTAAGCCCTCCCTGTGCCAGGGGCAGGATGACTGAGCCCACCCTGTGCCAGGGGGCAGGATGACTGGTCCTTTCTGGCCAATTTCCCTACCACAGGTTGGACTCACCACCAGCCTCAGTGCTTGCTCATGATGCTGCCTTTTTAAAATTTTTAAAGATTTATTATATTTTTATTGGAAAGGTAGATTTTTACAGAGAGAGGAGGAGTGACGGAGAGAGATCTTGGATCTGCTGGTTCACTCGCCAAATGGCCACAATGGCTGAAGCCGAGCTAATCTGAAACTGGGAGCCAGGAGCTTCTTCTAGATCTCCCACAGAGGTGCAAGGACTCAAGGACTTGGGCCATCCTCTGCAGCTTTTCCAGGCCATAAGCAGGGAGCTGGATGGGGAAGCGGAACTGCAGGGCCTAGAACCAACCCCCTGCATAGGATGCTGACGCTGCGAGCAGAGAATTAACCTGATGTGCCACTGCCTCTTTGCCTCTGTTCTTGTAGCTCTCTAGACACCCAGCCCAGTGTGGCCACCACGGGCCACCCCAAACAAGGCCAGTGCAAATTGAGATGCACTGTGAGTGTCACGCTGGTTTGGTGTTGGTGCTGTATATGGCAAGCTAAGCTTCAGCTGCGACACCAGCATTGCAACTGGGCGCCGGTTCGAGTCCCAGCAGCTCTACTTCCCAACCAGTTCTTTGCTAATATACTGGAAAGGCAGCAGAAAAGGGATCAGGTTCTTGGGCCCTGCACCCACGTGGGAGATCTGGAGGAAGCTCCTGGCTCCTGCCATTACAGCCATTTGGTGGGTGAATCAGCAGAGGGAAGATTCTCTCTCCCCATCCCTCCCTCTCCCTTCTCTTTTTGTAACTCTGCCTTTCAAATAATAAATATATCTTAAAAAAAAGAAAGACATGGGCCTAGCAGGGTAGCCTAGTGGCTAAAGTCCTCATTTTGCATGCACTAGGATTCCATATGGGCGCTGGTTCTAATCCTGGCTGCCTCACTTCCCATCCAGCTCCCGGCCTGTGGCCTGGGAAGGCAGTTGAGGACGGCCCAAGGCCTTGGGTCCCTGCATCTGCATGGGAGACTCGGAAGAGGCTTCTGGCTCCTAGCTTCAGATCAGCGCAACTCCGGTCATTACAGACGCTTGGGGAATAAATCAATGTATGGAAGATCTTCCTCTCTGTCTCTCCTCCTCTCTGTATATCTGAATTTGCAATAAAAATAAACAAACCTAAAAAAACCAAAAAGAAAGACATCGACTTTTAAAGACTTAGTAATAAACCTCTTACTAAAAATGTTAATCCTACTATTGAAATGATAATATTTTGATGGACATGTTGGAAGATGTTTCATTAACGTTAATTTTCCTTTTTGCCTTTTGTAAAGTGGCTAATAAAAACTTCTTAATGACGTAAGACTTGCATCAGCCTCTCGTTGCTAGCACCACTTTGGGTTTTGCTGCGGATTGCTATTTTCACCTCCGCCTTTTCCTCCGACATCCCCCCCTCATTGCTCCCGTGCCACTTGGCTCCACAGCGCCCCCTCCCGGCAACCTGCAATTCGCTGCAATCCACCACTCAGTACTTTCCAGCCCGCTAATTCAAATCTGGTCTTCCCATTTGCTAACACAGTCTCTATGAGTAAGACAACTCATAATGTAGTTCTGTTCTTGATCAATTCTCATGGAGAGGGCTATCTAAACTCTATAAAAATTAAGTCCTTGTAATTCCCTGTGAAAAGAACTTTACTTGTCATTTTCCAGACTGGCCTATCTTTACCGCAATCTTCACTGGAAGGTGTTAGTAGTTTTAAGACACTAAACAAATGCAAATTACTATTAATAATTCAAACCAGTGTCACCTGCTCATGCCAGAAGAGCAGTTCCTGTCTTTTTTACTGATTTTTTTTCTCCACTCTCGTCATGTTGAGGCTCCCATTGAAGTACTGTCAGCAGAGAACTTTTGCCACTCCAAATGCCCAAACCCGATTCCCCCAAAAGGAGGAGTGTTCCCCAGCACGATCAACGCGGGCTGTGGTAGCCCGCCCCGACACATGTCAACAGCTAACGTCCCTGGGACTGCCCGGGCACGTGGCTGGCAGGGGCCTGGGGAGGGAGAGCTGGGAGAGTCTTTGCTGAGCAACAAACACGGGCTCCCATTGCCATCTTCCTCCGGGCACTCGGGCCAGGCTGCCCACTACACACCCTTCCCAGCCCGGGTGGTGACATGCCTGCTTGGTCTCCTTCCCTGCACTCTAAGCCAGGAGACGCCTGCACCCCAAGAACAGCACAAAGCTCTTTTTGCTTCCAACATGTTCTCCATCACTCCCAGTACCGAGAAACCTTTCAAGAAAATTCCTCCAAGTGCAGAAACTTTTCCCTGGTCCCCCAGCACCTGTACTTCAATGCTCTCCAGACAGACTCCACATCTCTCTCTCTCTCAGGCCAGCGACAGTGGCCACTTGTCACTCAGCACACATCAGAGGTGTCCCTGCCAACAGGCCCTCTGCCCCCTTCGGATGGTCCCGGGATGGCTCATCCTTCAGGGTTTTCCTCTATCCTGCTGGGGCTGGCATTTCTCTCCTGCCTCGCCCTCTGTTCCTCTCTGGCAATGCGGCTTTCACAGCCAATATTCTATTTGCTTCACAAAAACGCCCTCATGATACACAGGGATCAAACAGAACTAAGGGGACTCCAGGGGGAGGACAAGATGCTTGTCCTCGCAGGCATGGGCAGGACCCCCTCAGGTCCCCTCCTGAGGGGTCTCCCTCCAACTCAGCCCTTTCCTGGGTGTTTCTGCGTCTATCTCCACATCCCACAGCCTCCGAAGCCACCTCTCGGATCTTCCACTTCGCCCGTCTCGCACTCAGCACCACCCTACAGCAAACCTCCTGGCCTTCTGGTCTTAAGGTCAGCCTCTGGGCTGGCACACTGGCCCTCCCCCTCGCGGACAGCCACTGCTCTTTTCCTTACACGACTCCCCGGGAGATGCTGCTCCGGCTGCCGTCCTCCCTGTCAGAGCACAGCAGCCCACTTCCCCGGGGCCAGTCGCAACATCCAAGGCTAAAGCGGAAAAGGAGGACTCGGTTCTGGCCAAGCCCCGGGGGTCTCGAGAGTGACCCGGGCTATGCGCAGTCTCAGGGCGGGCCCAGACCCTCTGGTCACAAATGTGTCTTTTCTGGCAAAGGACAAGAGGACTCGGGCCATTTCCTCCTGGTCTCTGTTGGGTCAGCTCCAAGGCCTCCGGGGTCCCTGCACCTGGCCGGTCGGATTCACCCCGCTGCTGAGGAAGCAGAAGCCTTGGTGCCTCACACCAGCCTGGGGCGCCTCTTCTGAAACAGGGTCCCCTCCAGTTGGCAAGCTTTCCGCTGCGGGTCGCTTGGCTCTGCTGCTCAGGAGACGGCTGTCCGAGCTGGGAGGGCGCAAGCTTTCCAGCGGAGCTGGGTGTGTCACGCCTGCCTCTGCCGAGGGCACGCCCCACGCAGCACCCATGGCTCGGAGAGGCTTTCTTAGCTCATTCCAGCTGCATCCCGCCTGATTCCAGGTCTTTGGGCCACGCCCAACTCAGCCCAGCTTCCACCTGGTTCGTCAAGGCTTAGTTCTAAATCTGCCAGTTCAGAAGTGACCTCTTATTAACCATGCGCTTTCACTCCATTCCCCACCCGGCATGTATGGGCGCCCATCCAACTCGCTTGGGGTCAAAGCAATTTCTCAGAAACCAGGCTGGGTCCCCTTCTAACTGAGCTGACAACGGCCCCCACAAACCCTCACCGTAGGGTGCCAGCAGGTGCCCTCAGAAAATCCCAGCCTTGCACCCGCCTTCCTTGGTAGCGGAGGGAAACGAAGGAATTAGGAGTGGGCAGGGGGTAAGGAGCCGGCGGCCAGTTTGAGGGCTGGGAGGTTGGGAGGCAAAAAAAAGTCTTGGTGAGGTTTCAACAGGATCGCCCCCTCCCCCGATCCCCGAGGGCCGGGAGATGGCCCTGCAGACCCCACGCGCTCGTGATCTGGAGGTGCGGGACTCCAGGGCTGCCCGCGGACGGGTGCCAGATTCCGAGCAGGTTCCCGTCTGGGATCTCCAGATGAACCGCGCTTCCCGCTCGGCGCCCCGGATCTGCCCCAGCACTTACCCGGCAGACTTGGGAAAGTCTCCGCGAAGTGCGGAGGCGGGGGCGGTGCGGCCTCTGCCACTTTCTCCCGGGCCGGCAGCAGCTCCTCCGCTTCCAGCGCGCCCTCCGGACGCCGGGCGCCCGAGTCGGGGTTGTTCCGGGAGGCAGTGGCGGCGGCGGCGGCAGCGGCGGCGGCGGCGGCGGCGGAGAGCTCCGGGGGCCCGTAGAAGGCGTCGGGCGGTTCGGCGAAGCTGGGCAGCGCGGTGGTGAGCGCCACCATCGAGGGCACAGCCTGGCCCAGCCCCGCGCAGAAGGTGTTGGTGAGGCGGCCGGCAAAGGAGGCGAGCGGGGCGAGGGGCGGCAGGCCGGCGGGCAGCGGCGCGGGGGCCAGCGCCTGCGGCAGCACGAGCGGCCGGTAGGGCATGAACATGGGGTAACCGGTGTAGAGCAAGTGGCCGGAGCGCGGCGGCGGCGGGCCGATGAGGGAGTCGATGGAGAAGGCGGTGCCGGGACCCCCGCCGCCGCCGCCGCCGCCCCCGCCGCCGGCCGCGGGGGCGCCGCCGCCTCCGGCTCTCTGCATGGCGCCCGGGGAGCTGCGGCCGCCCCGGGGCGCTCCGTTCCGGGCGCAGCCGTGCGCCCCGCGCGGACACGCAGGGCTCGCTCGCCCGGCTCCCCGGGCCGAGGTGGCGGCGGGGCGCGGGCTGGGCGCAGTGTGGCTCCGGCGCCGCGCTCTCTCTCTCTCGCTCTCTCCTAAGGAGGGAGGGGGCGGGCGAGCGGGCGGGCTGGGGGTGTCGCCCTCCGGACTCATCCATCTTCCTCAAATTACGCTTCACTTCCTCCCTCCGCCCGCCGCCGCCGCCGCCGCCGCGCCCGGGCTCCCGCTCCCTCGGCAGAGCCCCGTTCCCAGCGGCCCCGGCCGGCCGACCGGCCCGGGACCCGCCGCCCGCCCCCCGCGGGCCCAACCAACTATTATTAATGGAGATTGATGAGGCCGGACACGTCGCTTTGTGAAAGTTTGCGGCCCACGAGAAGGCGGCGGCAGCAGCTGCTGGGCCGCTCGCCCCCCTCACCCCAAACACGCCCTCCTCTCCTCGCCTCACCCGGCCCGCCCTCGTCCCTAACTCAGTCCACCCCGGCCCGGGCTCGGCCCGGCTCGGAGAGCGAGCGGGACCCCCGGACCTGGACGGGGCGCACCGGGAGCGCGGGCGGCGGGGCCTTCTGTCGTCGGACCCCCAGGGGCCGCCGCACCCCACGCCCCCACGCCCCACGCCCCCACGCCCCACGCCCCCACATCCCTACACCCCCCACGCCCCCACGCCCCACGCCCCCACATCCCTACACCCCCACGCCCCGGGTCTGCCTTTCTGTCCTCCCCGCGCGCGCAGCCCGGCTCCCGGGGCGGGCGAGGTGACGGGCCCGGGGCGGCCACCTCAGCCGCCACGTCAGGCGGGAGGGCGGCTCGACGGGGACGGCAGGGGGCGCTGCGGCCCGGGGGGCGGCCATGTGTCGACACGGGAGCGGGTGGGGGGGGGACCCCTTTTCTCCGGTGCTGGCTCCCCGACCCTGCCGCTCCTCGGGTCCTCTGCTCTCGCCTTTCCTGACCTTGGGGCTGCCCCACCTCCGCGACCCCGTGGGCCGCTCACTTGCGGGGTCCCTGCTTCTCGCCTCTCTGGGTGCTTTCCTCAGGTGGCCACACTGCGGGTACTCACCAGCACCTGCATCTCCCCCGTGCCCTCCAGCTCTCCCACGCTTGCCCTGCCTGCCACTCGCAGCTTGCCCTCGCTCCTACTCCCATTTCCCCTTTGATGGACTCTCTCCCTCCTCTCCTTCCGGATTCCCATGCCGCCTCTCTCCCCTCCCTTCTCCCCTGCATCTGTGAGCATCTGTCTGTCGGTCTGTCTGTCAGCGCCCCCCTCCCTCGCCTTCCCTCCCTCTCTGCTGCTATTAATTTCCCTGATTGGCTCCCTGGCTCCGGCACCGCTGATGAGCCCTATTCATTCCGGGCCTGACACTTGCGACCTGCCCTGGCTGATTGCTGGGGGCCGGCCCCAGGAGCGCTGATGAGTCCCAAGGGTCAGCGGCGCTAATTATCGGCTAATTGCGGATGACTCTGCTCACCTCCCCCATCCTCAGTCACAGCAATGGTGGCACCTTTTCCGGTCCCCCTGCTCCTCATCCCCAGCCTTAGAGCTGTCAGTCTAGAGGCGGAAAGTCACAGGCTTGGTGACCCGGTGGGCGCCTCGGGTCAGGGGGCAGAAGAGTAACGGAGGCAGGCAAATCAACAGAGGATAAGTGACCCGCGCTTTAAGGACACCGGGCAAGCCTGGCCAGCGCGAGTGAGCAGCGTGGTTTATGCCAGTGGGGCCAGGAAGAGCCACCCTAGTTAAGAGGGATGGTAGCAAAGCTGAGCAAGCTTGGGAAGACGCTGTTGAGGTGGGGGGCGAGTCCCAGGGTTGCAGTCCAGACCCAGCAGGATGTGAAGGGAGAATGGATTTCAGGAGAGCAATGTTGACCCAGGACCAGGCTGGTGTACTTGAGAGGCTGGCATGGCGGCGCTGTGGGTTAAGCTACTGCCTGGGATGGCCACGTCCCATATGAGCTCCAGTTGTAATCCCGGCTGCTCCACTTGTGCTCCAGCTCCTTGCCTGTGTGCCTGGGGAGGCAGTGGAGGATGGCACAAGTTGCCTGGGATATTGGGAGTTCCAGGCTTTTCTCTCAGCCTTGACCGTTATAGCCATTTGGGGAGTAAACCAACAGATGGAGGGTGTGTGTGTGTGTGTATGTGTGTGTGTGTGTGTGTGTGTACGCGCCCACATGTCCTTTGGGAGCAAGTCCTCATGTCCCTGTCTAAAACAGAATTCTCCATGTTTCAAATTTTAAAATAGGGTCCAGTGCAGTAGCCTGGTGGCTAAAGTCCTCACCTTGCGTGCACGGGATCCCATATGGGTGCAGTTCTAATCTAAGCTGCTCCACTTCTCTTCCAGCTCCTTGCCTTGGCCTGGGAAAGCAGTCAAGGATGGCCCAAAGAGTTGGGACCCTGCACCTGTGAGGGAGACCCAGAAGAAGCTCCTGGCTCCTGGCTTCGGATCTGCTCAGCTCTGGCCGTTGCAGCCACCTGGGGAGTGAACCAGTGGATGGAAGAACTTTCTGTCTCTCCTTCTCTCTACCTTTCCAATAAAAAATAAATAAACCTTAAAAAATAAATCTTAAAAAAAAAAAAAAAAGAATTCGTACCCCAAAAGGCATTGTCAGCAGGACGGAGAGAGAAGGGGGGAGTCGGGAGGTGCTGTCTTTGGTTATGCCTTGAGTGGCAGCTCATCAGAGAGAAGATTCCAGAAGAGGGTCATTGCCATGGACTGCTGGCCTCCCCTGGGCTCTTAGACTCCAGTGACGGAAGGCGAGGCTGCTGTCACCGCGGGGACGGAGAGGTGGCTGAGCCTGGGTCTGTCACCCCAGCTCGTCCGTGGCCTGGCTGTGTCTACAGAGGCTCTTGACAATCTTTCCCCGCACTGACACACACAGGGGGTTCAGGTGCTCGGGGTTCTGGCTTCCAGCAGCCAGCTCTGTCACTGCCTGATCTGTGATCATGGCAACTTTGTGACAAGCAGCCACTACACCAGCCAACTGAAACAGCAAGAGCTGATTTTAAAAAGTAATGGCATTCAATCTTTGCATAGGTGGTAAACTCACACCAGAGACAATTCCAGAAGCCCAGAATGAACCGTTTAGACACATGTCCCTCCCATTATGAGTCCTTGCAGTCAAAGGCCGCTTTAGTGTGGTTTCCCGCTGGGGCAGAATGGACTGTGAATCAAAGACCCGGGGTTAAGAGGCTTGCTGCTCCTCGCTGTTCATCGCCAAAGAGCCAAGGGCTTGTTGCTCAAAACCATGCTGGCTCCGGTGGATTCTCCCCTCAGCTTGGCAGAGCGCGCAGGTGCCAGCAAGTCCTTGTGGACCCAGTCTGAGCTGAGACAGGCGACCCCGTGGGGACCACGTGATGACCTGTGACGGCCCATGATTGTTACTGCATTTTGTAACTAACTTGCATCTTCCGTCTGTTGCCTTGCTAGTGGGACCATGAAGGGTGTGACTCGGCTACAGCTTGCCAGCATGGACAGAGGCCAGCACTTGCAAGTGCACAGGGACCTGCAGTTCTGTTCCTGACCTTGCCTGGGTCACATGGCTGGGGCTCACCTTCAGCCCAGCTTCTCCGTGAGAGAATGATGGAGATCTACCCGGCCTAGGCAGAAAGCACAGATCACTGGGTATGCGGGAACAACTTTCAAATAAGTTCTTCCTGCGCTTAACAGACAAAGAGGATGGGCTGGTGTCGTAATGCAGTGGGTTTCAAATAAAAAGAAATAATTTGTTTTAAAGGACAGGGGTTAGATACAGGAGGAAGAAAGAGAAAATTTGGAAACAATGGTGTTATTCACTTTTGCCTAATCCTCTACCTTTCTCACCCTGATCAGCTATGTAAGCATCATCAAAAATAAAAAAATAAAGAAGAAGAAGAGCTGGGGCTGCTGCAATGGCAGGACAAGCTAGTCCTCCATCCTGTGGTCCCAGCATCTCATACGGGCGCCAGTTTGTGTCCCAGCTGTTCCACTTCCCATCCAGCTCCCTGCTCGTGTCCTGGGAAAGCAGTAGAGGATGGCCCAAAGCCTTGAGACCCTGCATCCATGTGGGAGACCTGGAAAAAGCTCCTGGCTTCGGATTGACTCAGTTCTGGCCATTGCAGCCACTTGGGGAGTGAAGCAGCAAACAGATCTTTCTGTCTCTCCTTCTCTCTGTAAATCTTACATTCTAATAAAAATGAATATTTTTAAAAAGAGCAGAGTGCTTAGGGAGGGGAAGGAGACATCTCTCCAGTCAGTAGCTCCCCAGAACCTGCTTCCTGGGGCGCTGTGCTTGGAATTCCTGCATCCCATATCTGCCTTGGTTCAAGTCCCGGGTCTGCTTCGAAATCCAGCTTCCTGTTCACGCACACGCTGGGAGGCGCAGGTGATGGCTCGAGTCCTTGGCCTTGGCATGAAGTGGAAGATGGAGCAGAGTCCCCAGCTCCGGGCCTGACTTTGTCCAACCCTGCTGTTGCGAGGCATTTGGGGAGTGAACCAACAGGCCAAAAAGGTCCCTCTCTCAAAATAAATGCAAAGGAAATATTCCAAAGGAGCTGTTTTTCTTTCTCATCACAGCACCAACGTGAGATGTTGCAGCCATGTCATCTATATATATATGTTTTAAAGATTTATTTATTTGTATTGGAAAGGCAGATAGACAGAGAGGAGGAGAGACAGAGAGGAAGATCTTCCGACTGACGGTTCACTCCCCAAGGGGCCGCAACGGCTGGAGCTGAGCCGATCTGAAGCCAGGAGCTCTTCCAGGTCTCCCACTTGGGTGCAGAGTCCCAAAGCTTTGGGCCGTGCTCGACTGCTTTCCCAGGCCACAAGCAGGGAGCTGGATGGGAAGTAGGGCTGCCGCGACTAGAACCGGTGCCCATATGGGATCCTGGTGCATTCACGGCGAGGGCTTTAACTGCTACGCTATCGCACTGGGCCCAGCCATGTCATCTAAACAGGAGTGCTTGCCTTCCTCACCCACAGAAAACTGTGGCTTTGCTACTGAATCCACAAGCAGGTCATTTGGGAGCAAGTCTTCGTGTTCCTGTGTAAAGCAGAATTCTGCAAGCGCTACTTTAATTGTCCACATGCTCG